TTTGATTTCTGTGACATCAGTTGTAATGCAACCGTATTTATTATTTTAGTTGGATTCTTTAACTTTGTTTTTCTTCCTTTTCCTATGTGGTCCTGGGGATTGAATCCTGGGGTATGCTACAATTAAGGTACATATCAAATCCTTTTTAATTTTTTTTAAAATTTGAGGCAGTCTCATTAAGTTACCCAGACTAGCTGCAAACTTGTGATCCTCCTGCCTCAGCCAGGTAACTCCTCCTTATTTTTTTCTTACTTAATCCAGTTAAGCATTTGTGAGTGCTGTTGATCTTTTCAGAAAACCATCTTTAGTTTTGTTCTTATTTTCTATTGTTTCTCTATTATCTATGTATCTCATATCTGCTATACTCATTATTTTATTTTTTTCCACTGTGAGTTTAGTTTTTTTGTTTTTCTAGTTTCTTGAAAGGTAAATTTAAATCATTGTTTTGAAATATTTATTCTTTTTAATGTATGAAATTACAGATATAAATTTACTTCTTCACATTGATTTTACTACATCCCATACATTTTGGTATATTATGTTTTTATTTTCATTTGACTCAAATTTTAAAAAATTTTCTATGTGACTTGTTTGAACTGTACTAGTGTGTTGTTCAATGTCCCCAGATTTACTTCAAATATTCTAGGTTTTCCTTTTGCTATTCATGTCTAATAATTTCATTGTAATCAGAAAATATATTTTGTATGATTTCAGTGTTCCTGAAATTTCTAAGACTTGTTTTGCAGCCTAACATATAGTAAATCCTGAAGAGTATTCCATGTGCACTAGAGAAGAAGATATATTTGTCTTTTTTATGTAAATAAAAAATCAACTGATATTTCATCTAATTCCAATTAGAATGGCAATTATCAAGGATGCCAACAATAGCCAGGCTCAGCGGCCCATTCTTATAACCCTTTTTCCAAAAGGAGCCGTCAATTGGCTTGGTGTATCTTCCTCCCTTCTGCTTGTCATGATCGTCCAGCTAAAATTTGGGGGCCAACAGAGGTGAGGCAAAGAACCTCACCCCCCCCGCTGGTACAAAGACCTCTCCACAGGTGTGGCTGTATACTGGACCGGTAGTCAGTGACGGGTAAGATCCAATTGCAATGGTACTATTGGACAACCTAAGGCAGGCACGGTCCCTAAGCCACATGCTTGTTGTTTAAACAGAGAGGGGGAGATGTTGAGAGCCACAGCCGAAGGGGCCCCAGCAAACTTCCAGCTGCCAGCAAACTTCCAGCTGCCGGCTGATGATTGGCTCACAGCGGCCCCAGCAACATCTAGCTGATTGGCTCCTCTGCGTGATGCTCATTGGGCTGTTTCCCTGCCCTTTCAGACCACGGAGCTGCTCATTGGGGGACTTTTTTGGCTCCGCCCACGTGACCCAGCCAATCGGCCTCAAGAGCAGGAGGATTGTGGGAGGTGGAGAGAAGCTTGTGTGGGAGAGAGAGGCTTGTGGAAAGCCGGTGGTGGCAGTTGAGGCTCTGAGGGTTTTTCCTGAGAGGCTGTTTTGTTTGGCGTGTGTGGTTCTAAAAATAAAGTTAGTTTCTTTTGACAAGTGGCTCCTGATTGTGCCCAGCCAGACTGCGGCAGAGAGCCTACATTTTGGGAGCAAATTTTTGCCACACACATCAGATAAAGCACTAATCTCCAGGATATATAGGAATTTTCAATAGTGAAAACTGCAGGTGTCTGTTGTGGTGTTGGGGACTACTGGGGTCTTCCTGAATACCTTTTACACAGGGAAACATGCCCCCAGGTTTGCAGCTGATACAAAAAGGAGATGGTATTGTAAGGCAAGACATTTTCTTCCTTTCTATACAAAGGCAACCTGACTTCCTATGATCTGTAAGATTTCTATTGTTGCTTTGCTGTTCTCTGGGGTTCTTAACTCAGCATTTGTTTAAACTGTGGTTATTTTATGTTTTGTGTTTTTTGTAGAACACTAGAAACTTCTAGTTGGATACCTTCACAAGAGGTATGTTTTTTTAAAAAGCAGAGTAACAGAGTAGCTAGATAAATAGGGAAATGTAATTTAGAGAGCAGCTTTCAAAGATGAGAATTATTATAGTTCCAGAGTGATTATAGGAATGACCACTGGAGATAGATACATTGATGAGAAAGTAAATATAGCAAATAATTTCTAGAGTAAAGTCCTGAAGAATTAAGAGGTATGCAAGTATAGTGCTATATACTACAACTGACCTTAGGAAAGAGGAGGATTTTTTAATAAAAATACTAATACTTATTTGAAATATACTTTGTGACAGAATTAATTCAAAGTGTTACTAACTAATTTCATCCTCATGGCACCCCCATTAGAAAATAACTATTTTTATTACATTTTTTATGATAATACCAAGAAACTGAGATAAGTGCTCCATACACCTTGGACGCAGATAAATCTAAAAGTGGATATATACAGATAAAATTGCAGACAGTATGGTAGATTAATTAAAAATTAATATTTTCAGACAGTATGGTAGAAAATTACATTGTTCTCCTCTGCTTGTTTCAATATTCTCAATTAAATAAAATATAAAGTGATAAGCAAGATTGAAGACAAGAAAGAAGTTTTGGAATTTTGAGGAGAGATGAGAAGATAATGAATACTTGTCTCAGAGAGTAGAAAATAAGATCATGATGAATAAATAAAAACAGAATTTTCAAGAGTGGAAACAACCATAGTTTTAAAGTTAGATAGTCAGCATGGTTCTGTGATGATTTTCACCTATATTCTGCTGTTTAATTCAGGTGTATAATAGGTGGCAAGGCATGTTTATGTAAATTTAGTTTTTCACAAGGTGATTATGACAGAAGAAAAATAAGGTCAAGGAGTGTATGCAAGAAAATGGTTATATAGTGATGGACTGCTATGTTTTGCATCTGAAACATACCCTGAAGCCTCATCTGTTGAAGGTTTGCTTGGTTCCCCACTACAGAATTGGTCATTGGTAGGGCCTTTGGAAGATGGTTCATGATGAGAAATCTAACCTCATCAACGAACTAATTCATTGACCGATTCATAATTTAATGGGCTACTGGGAGGTGGTAGTACTCAGGAGGGAGGGCCCCATTGGAGGAAGTAGGTTCTTGAGGACAAATCCTTGAAGCCTATGTTTTATCCCCAGATCCTTCATCCTCTCTCTTTCACTCTGCTTCCTGGTTGCATGAGGTGAGCAGCTCTTATCCATCAAATATACCACACCATGATGCTCTACCTCATCAGGGATCTAGAAACATTGGGGCTAAAAACCAAGGAATGAAATTTCTAAAATAGTAGACCAAAATGTTTCCTCTTTTAAGTTTTTTTTCCAGGAATTTTGTCACAACAATGGAAACCTGACATGGGCCCTGAAATCTATCTGGATAACGAAGAAAATAAGGACATGTAGTTGATAAAGAGTGAAAACGTCCTTAGATAAAGGGCTAAAGATCTTGCTAGATTTGGAAAGAACATAAATCTAGCTCTTATCACATCTGTAATACATTATTCAAATACAATTCTCCCATCTCACTTTCATTTCTGGCATCATCCCAATAGATATTGCATACCAAAATGGGTGTGAGGCAGATTGTTATATGCAAAATTTTAAAGTCAAAGTTGCCCACCTATTGAATTTTCTGACTTTAAAGTTTATAAAAGGGGAAAGAGGAGAAGGCGGAGAAATTATGAGGTGATTTGTTTTGGAAAGAGTTTCTCCACTGCTGTGAGTTCTCATATACCCTTAAAGGATGAGAGGCAAGAAAGTTCTTCCTCTTCTAATAAAAAATTAATGGTAGGATTTTCATGGAATAACATAGCTTGAAATGTTTTCTCTACAGTTAGGAGAACACAGAGGACTAATGCTAGCCTTACACATGAGAAAGGTAAAGTAGGCTATAAAAGCAGGATTGAGGTAAAAAGTATTGCAATTTGGACAAGTGATGCTTGAGCATTTTATGGGGACTAGATGTGGACCACATGAAATAATTAGCAGGAGGTCATTCTGGGTACCTTTGACAGGGTTACTTAGAGGGATGATGATGAGGATTTCAGCAGCAAGACCTAGAGGTGAATGCTAGATTCATATGAACTAAAGAAGGAGTCACCAGTGACCCATGAGAGTAGACACACCTATCTCCTAATCAAGAGAATCACAGGAGAGTTGTTCTAAAGTACCCCAAACAACAGTTAGTCCCACCATTGTGTATATCCACAATAAAGTAATTAAACTAAGTAACTATAGGTAAAATGGCAGAAAGATCATGGAAGGGAGCAGAGCTTGGGGGGAGAGGTTAGGAAGAAGAGGTACTGGGGACTCAATTAGAACAAGGTATATTCTATGGTTTTATAATTATGTAAAAATGGATTATATTGTCATGTATAACTAAGAAGAACCAATAAAAATGAAAGATAGTTAGTTTTAAATATCATTTGTACACAGAGAATATAGAACCAGTCTAGAACAGAACCATTCCAATGAGACTATCCCATACTTATACCCACCAAAGGTGGGAGTAGTGGGTAAATGCAAAGCAAAAAAAAAAAAAAAAAAAAGAAAAAGAAAAGAAATACAAAGAAATAAATCAACCATACTTTCCTGCCATTAAAGTAAGTTCAAATTGGGGAAGGGTTTATTTGAATAATAATTAAACTTCAGAGTTTTATTGTTATCATATATTAAATATTTTTATTTTTCCATTTATTGTATTTTTGATTTAAGGTCACAATTGGACTTATTACCTAAGGATGATTTTAAAAAGTATGGGTTTTGTTGGAGTATTTTTAAAGGAGGAGGAATATTACCTCCAATAAATAAAAATTCAAGAGAAAGTAAGAAACAAAATAATAACAATAATACAGTTGTATTTTCATTATACCATGAGTATGCTTAACCAATGTATGTTATACCACTATCTAACCAAATTGAATTTATAATTTTTCTACAAACAAAACAACAAACCAGATAAAAATTGAATAATAGCATGAATGTGATTTATGATGTTATTTTGTTGAAATTAAATTGGAGGGCTCCGCCATGGTGAGTGGCAGCGGCGCCGGGTCGTCGGCGACTGCGGCGGTGAATCTGAATGCGGTGAGGGAGACCATGGATGTTCTGCTTGAGATTTCAAGAATTTTGAATACTGGCTTAGATATGGAAACACTGTCTATTTGTGTACGGCTTTGTGAACAAGGAATTAACCCAGAAGCTTTATCATCTGTTATTAAGGAACTCCGCAAGGCTACTGAAGCACTAAAGGCTGCTGAAAATATGACAAGCTGACTTTCTGGAGAGATCCTGATGAGATATGTCAAATTCCTCAAGAGGATTTGAAGATTGCATTTTAGTCAAGAATGTACAGTGAAATTACTGCATGCAGCAGTGTAGAAAAATTTTCCTTTTAAAAAGAATTATAAAACCATAGCTTTATAAATCAGTGGAAAGTGGCTTACAGAGAGAACTATCAAATGTGTTTGCATCGCGTCTTTTTTTTTTAATGGCCCTAATGTTTTGGCATTGCTATGTTTATATTTATGTATTCCTTATTTATAGCTCTGATAGCTTTAATTTTCTAAGCAGTCTGTCTATCAGATGTGCACATCTGCTGTGCCTGGTGGAAGTATAGTGGAACCCATCAGTATTGATGTGTCGTAGTTATGACTTGTTGACATTTCCATTATAAACTTTAATTTTGAATTGTTTATGCATAATAACTGTTGATTTATGTTGTATCAGGCTGAAAGTTGACAAGATTTTAGCCACCATGTAAGAATTTGTATTTAAATTCCCCATGTATACCAGAATCTTGTTTTTTAAAATGAGAACATAGAAAACATTTCTTGTAATCTTCTCTTTAACAAAGAATATTTAGTTTTTTAAACAGGTTTTGGGCAGTTAATAGTGTGAATTAGATCATTTTGTATTTACTGAAAAATAAAACTTCTAGAAACTTAGATTTTAAAAGTAATAACAGTGCTTAGCTTAGTATTGTTTGTAGTTTGAGTCATTTACATCAAATAAGAATATTAGTTGAATGTTTTTCTAAGTTTTATATCCTATAAAGGCCTAAAAATAATGTATAAAGTGAAACATAGCCAACATGCAAAATTCCTTTTTACTTTTATTACATAAAAGTAATTGGAATTCTTATCTAATAAATATGATGTAGATATATAATAAATCACTAGATAAGTGGTGCGTTTCAATGAATATGTACTATTTTCTGAAGAAATAAGGATTTCTAGTCATTAAACAAAAACTAATGAAATGTGTATCAGGAATTATAAGTTTGCCTTTCTAAAATCATTTTGTGTGTCATTATTTACCCTTAAAGTTTTAACTCATCAAAATGATAATTAAAAAATAAATTTTAGAAAATTTAGGATGTTATTGGTTCTGTTTCTGTAACAGAATCTCAGTGGAATTTTTTTGCAAGGCTAATATGGATTTAATTTCATTGTTGACTAAATTTTAGATTTTTGTTAGATACCTTTTAAATGAATGGTATTCATTCTTCACTAATGTTTTTTATTGTTCATACAAGCTGAAGTGGTTTTTATAAGATTTAGTGATATTTAGGTAGCCACTTTCTCTGCTTTTTTTTTTAATATTTATTTGACCATTATGACTTTTAATTCATGGCATCTTTACCAGTAAACTGAAAAGGTCTATTAGCAGAACAAGTTGGGAGACAATAAGAATTTGTGATAAGCATTTGAATGAAACTAAACACTACAAATACTGCATGTTATTTATAAATCAAAGAGAACATTTATTCTCAACTCCAAAATGTGTATGCAGTTCTAGGCCATAAGAGTTGATAATATAGATTAAGTTATTTACGTATGAAGCAAAATAGGAAAAAATATTGAGAAAGGATTATGTTTTCAGAGGCCTTCTTATGTGTCATATTTCTTAAATGTTTTTTGGTGATACTGGGGATTGAACCCTGATGCATTCCACTAAATCACATCCCCAACCCTTTTTTTTATATATATTTATTTGAGACTGGGTCTGGTGATATTGTTCAGGCTGACCTTGAACTTGTGATCTTCTTGCCTCAGCCTCCCAGATAGTTGGGATTAGGTGTGTGTCACTGCTGCTGGCTTTAAATGTATTAGTATCTTTTTAATGCATACTTCAGTAATATTTAAGAAATAAAATAAAATGATACAATTCCAATGCTGTACATGTTGACAATGACAAAAATAAAACCATATTGGTAGTAAAAAAAAATAAATTGGATATGCAACTATGTACCTCAGCAAGAGTTCACTTGAATTAACTTTGTTTAATTTGTTGATTGCCTAAGCATTATAATTCTTTCGATATTTTTCTGTATTTAAACTATATTAGAAATTCCATCCACTGATGCATTCTGAAAAGGGATTAATAAATGGTGGTGAATTCACTGAAAAAACTGAAAGGGACATAATGAAAACAAAATGTCTTAAATATAAATGCACATAGAATAACCAAACTTTTGTACTAGCACAGACATTTTTCTTGCGTATAGAGTTCGATGTCAACTTTCTCACATAAACTGTATCTATTTCAGTTTAAGTTTTATTAGAATGAATCAAGAAATTAAAGGTGTTTATAAAGTAATCTCAGTGCAGAATTCTAGATTATAATGATATCCACTTGTTTACACCTTTTTTAAAAATTATACGTTAACATTGTTTTATGAACAACACAATGTTTTCCAAGTATATGTATATTGTGGAATGATTAAGTCTAGCCAATCAACAAGTGTACTTCCTTCCATAGTTATCATTTTTTGTGATGATAGCACATAGCATCCATTTTCTTACACTTGCATCACTCACACTTAATATGAGAGAAAAATCATTTAATGATATTTATTGATTATTTCCAAAATTTTTACTTTACATATATCTTCCATTTTGCACTTATTCCAACAATTTAGATGATATTTAGTAATATTTACACAACTTATATAATTATGTATTTTATATTATATGTTATATAATTTATTATTACAACAAATATAATTGGAATAAACATGTTTTGAGCACAGTTACCTCAGTAAATATATGACTCAATGGGTGAGAACAGAGGTACTCAAATTTTCTAGAATTGTGTTGTATAATACAAAAGTCATTAGTAACATATGGCAATGTAAGTTTAAATGGAATTAAATTAAAAGTTTCAGCTCGGGTTCAGTATGTATGCCTGTTATTCCGCTACCTTGGAGTCTGTGGCAGAAGGATCATGAGTTCAACACCAGCACTTGTAAGTGCTGTAAGCACTTGTAAGTGACCTGTCTCAAAAATAAATAAAAAATAATAATTCCTCAAAAGTCTAAGAATGGACCACCATATGATTCAGCTATCTCACTCTTTGTTATTTTTTCAAAAAGAACTAACATCAGCATACTACTCTCCAAGTATTGGAGAATTATTGAAGAGTTTTTAATCTGGTCTTTAACCTGGTCAGATTTAAATTGGAGAGGAAAAAGACAAGTAATAGGAAGCTCTGAAAATGATACATGTAGGAATGGAGAGAAGATTATAATTTGAGAAATGTTTTTTTCATGTGAAAGAAGCAGTTATAGATGTGAAAGGGAAGAATTGTTGAATCTTAGATTTATAATTTAGGTGAAAGAATGGATCATTTCTGAGAAATAACTTACAAAAGAAAGGTAAATGTGTACAGGAAAATTTGAGAAAAAAGTTCAGATGATAAATCCTGGGGCTCAAGATAATCTTGGGGAAAAAAGAGAAATCATATTACTGCTCATAATTATATAAGTGATGGAATAAATGTGGGACTTGGAGTTTAAAAAGCAGGTTTTAAGGAAGCAATATCATAAAGGAATTGGTAAAATAATAAGTTAGAGACATACTCGCATATTAAACTTAATTTCTTTGAAGTTGGACAGAATTAAAATCAAGGTATAGACACGTGAGAGTGCTGCTTAAAGTAGAATGGTGAAGGTCCTGTTATTGGAAGGCTAGGTTTGAAGCTGTATTACCTGTATAGATATTTAAATAACAATAATGAAATGAAAACTGCCTACATTTACCATTCACTATGGAACAAACATGATGCTATGTTGTTTGTTCAATTCTTCCAGCAATCTTATGAGATAGTATTATCCTGTTTTGCACAAGAAAACTAAGAATAATAGTAAATCTCTTGCTAAATGTTATACCATTGATAAGTATTTGAATCTGTATATCAACTCAGATATGTTTGAATCTAAAAATCTGTACTCTTTCCAGTATATCATGCCGCCTCTCATAACATAGGATTATGAGATTATGACAAAAGTTACAAGAGTGTCAATATATTAAAAATTCATTAATTAACAAATAACAATATTAAATATTGAAAGTACTATATGATAGACATTCTCTTTTTTTTTTAGAGGAGGAAATATTTATTTTGGAGCTCATGATTTCAGAGGTCTCAGTCCATAAAAGGCCAATTCCATACTTCGGGGCCTAAGGAGAGGCAAAACATAATAGCAGAAATGTGTGGTGGAGAAAAATGGCTCAGGACGTGGTGATCAGAAAGTAGAAAGAGAGAGACCACCACTCGATGAGGACAAAATATACACCCCAAAGGCACACTCTCAGTGACCCAGCTCCTCCAGCCACACCCCATCTGCTTTCAGTTGCCCTCATAACCCAATCATTTTACCTCTTAGCATTCTTGCAGTGTCTCACACATGAGCTTTTTGGGGATACCTCATACCCATACCATGACATCAAATATGAAAATTCACCTGCACAGCAGCCCTACGAGGGTCACTGTTACTGTAAGGTGAGGCGACAGGGACAGTATTTTCAGGATTTTGACCAGGCCATAGAAATAGTAGACGGCAGGGGCACCCCTAGCAGTCTGTCACTAGGATCTGACCCACTCCACCCACCACTGTGTGAGCAGCCACTGAAGGGTGTAAGACCTTCCTGTGGCTGCTGTAATGAAGTATTGCAGATGATAGGAGCGGGGCTGGGGAACTTAAACAACAGGATTTTATTGTCTGGTAGTTCTGGAGGCTGCAAGTCTAAGGTCAAGGTGTCAGTAGGGCTTATTCCTCCTGAGGACCATGAGAGAGAATCTGTTTTGCTATTTTCCCCTTGTTTCTTGTGTTGGATGTTGATCTTTGGCAATGTGTCTTTAGCCACGTTGACACACCTCTTCCTTCATGTTCCCATGGCATTCTCCCTGTGTCCAGACATGCCCCCATTTTTTAAAAATAAGGACACCAGTCATATTGGATTAGGGAGTTGCCTTACTCCAGAATGACCTCAACTTATATTTGAAATTCTTCTCTTTCAAAACAAGGTCACGTTCTGCGGGATTTAACATGTGAACTTTTGGAGGGCACAGTTCAGCCGGTAACAGATGAAGTTTCCGAACCTATCAAAAACTGTTATGAGCCTAACCTGTTGTAAGCACCCACCATTCTGTACTTCATGCTATGTGGATTGATCCCCATGGAAGCATTTGCTCACTCCCCTGATATAGGCTCTCTTGTTTCCGACTCAGCTGTCCCCAGAGACTGGGCAGACAATAAAAATGAACACATGAATGAATACATGCATCAGCTAGAGGACAGAGTGGTGGGGAAGGTGGGAACCAGAGCACACACTCTCCCTCCACACAGAGCAGCTCACACCAGTTACAGCTGATTGTTGCTGAGGGAATATGGACTTAGTACTGCCGGGCCCTAAGTACTCCATGACTAGGTGGAAATTTGGAATTTTGTGTGAACTTTTGTGACTTTTGAAAGTTATAGCTACTTAAAACATTTTGTAACTCTGTAGGCTAAGCAAACAAAAAACAGAAGGGGCCTGGCACTGTACATTCACCAGCCCTGTTGTAATGTCTCCCTGTTAAAACAGGCCCAAACTCAGTCTGAGTTCTGTGAGATAGGAAAATATTATTGCAGAGTCAAAACTTATATCCAAGAAAACCATATTATAGCTACTGTTTTCCAAATTCCAAGGAGCGGAAGTCTATTACAAGGATCTCTCCTTCTTCTTCCTCATCTACGAGATTCTTGGAGCCCTTTGTTTTGGAATAAGGAAGATCAAGAAAAGTAATCACTGGGGCAGCTGTCTTCTGCTTATTTCTTGTGCACATATTCCAGCTCTGTGACTGAGCTGGCTGTGGGATGTTGCTCTGGGATGCTTAGGCCTGGTTCTGGTGAAAGGACTCGGAACTTGTATTTCTTGCACCTTAAGTCAAGGCTAGCTTATTCTAGCTGAATAAATTAAAGGAAATCTAGCTTCTTTCCTACCAAGACAGTATGTGACGATAAGCTGGAATTC